GAGTTAATTTTATACTTTTCCCCCTTGTGTCTGTTTTTCCTGTGGAAATCCCTGACAAGGGTGACTGTGAATCGGGGGCTGGCTGGAGAGAAAATCTGGCCTGGAGCAGCTCCATTGTGAATATTCTCCCCGCTCATCAACAGCACCTCTGCCAGCTTGTGATGGGCTCACCGCACTGTCATGTGACCAGGAAGCAATGAACTCAACACTAGCTATACTTGACGAAGGTGACCTAAAGTTGGGCAGAGTTTCTGAGTTGGAGCTTTCTTTGCCAGCCTCCACTCGGAGAATTAAATATGCTAGTTTCCAAGTTTTAATGATAATAATTACTTCTCCAGCAAAACTTTGATAGGTAGGTTCCTCATCCAAGATCTTCAAGATACAGGTTGTATGACCTTCATCTGTTGACTATTCATGTCGATGGCTTCTATAATTTAGAAATTCTTACATATAGCCTTCATTTCTTTTGCTCTAGTGAAAGCTTCATAATTGTGTTTTATCTCTTGGAGCATCAGGATGTCTCGGAAATATTATCTTTCTGTGGGTGGGTACAAACACATGTTTATGAGCACATCCATCTGTAGCTGTCTGTGGAGGGGGAGGATGTGGTAGAAGAATAGACGTATGTACAAACTCTGAGTGTTTTTGAGGCTAGAGTAGACTGCATATGGATGAGTGTTTACTCGATCACTGTAGCTGGAGTAGGAAGCTGCCTACTTGTTATGATGCAAGGCAGATAAATATGTTAAAGTTGCCAGATTCAACAAAGAACCTCCAAATCTCAGTGGTCTGAAGAAAGATAACTGTGTTTTTCGTTCATGTCGGTATTCAGAGGGTGACCATCTACATGGACATTCAGGAATCCAGCTTCTTTTGTCTCGCAATCTCTTTCCACGCTTCTCTCCACTCAGCTAGTGGATGGGGAAAGAGAATTTTACATAGAAGGGTTTTATGGGTCAGGCCTGGAAGTGGCATATATTATTTCTGTCCGTATTCCCTTGATTAGTCAGAAATCCTCACCTTACTTGAAGGGAGGCTGAAGATCGATTCTAGATATGTGACTGAGGTAAAAAAGAAAACACTTTGGCAAACAACTAGTCAGTTTTCGCCGTATAAAGTGGCAACAACCTCTATTTCCAAAGTGCTCTGTTTATCCTACATGATTCTTTTGGTTAGAGTCAGCCTTCTATTCCACAATTAGAGCCTCGGTTTTAGTCGAACATATTCTCTAGGAAAAGGGAAAAATCTAGTCAAATATTTGTGCTGAAGCATAAGTTACTAAAGTCGGATCCTTTCTGGGGAGCAGGTGTATTCTCAGCACCACCTAGCGTGCTGTGTAAATACATGTTTGCTGAATCAATGAAAAGATGTCCATTGTAGATCCTCTTCTTGACTTAAGGGTCCTGGCTTGCTGGATCATGCAGAAAGGTAGAAGTGGTAGAGTAACATAGCCAGTTGAAGACAGGGCTACAATTACCTCCAGTCTCCTGTGGAACGGAGGGGATTTATTAAGACTCAGAAAGTTCACAAGCCAGCATCCCAGCAGGAGGAGGAAGTCTCAGAGAGTGGCTCTAGTTCGGGCCAACTGGTATGGTAAGGGTGGGTGGTGTGGATATGAAGAAGTAACTATGCCAAGAAACAGAATGGAGAACCCATGGAGGTGCCTTGGGTCACCTAAGTGAATCTTTCAGGTCCCGCTGAAGACACCAGAGCTGATCTCAAGTAGCACCAGCCATCTGATAAGCAGCTGTACCAGCCTGCTACAGATTGTGGAGAAGATGTCTCCCTCATGTTCACTGACCCTTTTGGACACGGGGTATGCTTGAGCTCTGTGAAAGCTGAACCAGACCACAGGGAGAAGAAAAACCCATGAAAAGGAGAAAGAAACTGATGAGTGTGGTTAGATAGGTCTTAAAGATAGATTAATGGTAGAAATGACTGAGTTATAATGAGTGCCCTGGAAGAGAATAGGTAGGTAAAAGGTACAGACTCTTATGTTTGTACACATCTGCTGTGTGACTGTCTAGTCATATTGGTTGCATGAATATATGTTAGAATAAAGAGCTGAATAAATTTTCATCAGGATAGAAGCTTCTTAAATTCTATCTACAAGGCTGATAATAGGAAGATGCATTAGTCTGTTCCCATGCTGCTAATAAAGACATACACAAGACTGGATAATTTATAAAGGAAAGAGGTTTAATTGACTCAGTTCCACATGGCTGGGGAGGCCTCGCAATCATGGTGGAAGGCAAAGGAGGAAAAAAGTCACATCTTACATGGCAGCAGGCAAGAGAACTTATGCAGGGGAACTCCCATTTATAAAGTCATCAGATCTTGTGAGACTTATTCACTACCACAAGAACAGTATGGGGGAAAACTGCTGCCATGATTCAATTATCTCCACTTGGCCCTGCCCTGGACACTTGGGGATTATTACAATCCAGGGTGAGATTTGGGTGGGGACACAGCCAAACCGTATCAGGGGATTCTGGTTTTTAGAAATTGCCAGGAAAACAAAGTGTCTACCCTTCTAGGCCCTATCTGTCTTTACGTTACTCACTTCTTAGCTATTACCTTCGGCTACTGATGCAGTTGTAATCACCTCTCTGCATCTTTTGGGAGAGATGGCCAGAAAATAACACCTGACCTTTTTCTTCTCCTGCTGTGTGCCCTCACCCAGCTTGGAATTGTCTGGGGGAAAAAGAGTTCTACCTCCAAAACGGTGCACATTACAGTTAGAAGCAGTTGTTTCACCATTATTCCAGCAATGGCTTTGGGGAAACCCTTTAATTATTTGCAGCAGGCCGGGCGCGGTGGCTCAAGCCTGTAATCCCAGCACTTTGGGAGGCCGAGGCGGGTGGATCACAAGGTCAAGAGATCGAGACCATCCTGGTCAACATGGTGAAACCCCGTCTCTACTAAAAATACAAAAAGTTAGCTGGGCATGGTGGCGCGTGCCTGTAATCCCAGCTACTCGGGAGGCTGAGGCAGGAGAATTGTCTGAACCCAGGAGGCGGAGGTTGCGGTGAGCTGAGATTGCGCCATTGCACTCCAGCCTGGGTAACAAGAGCGAAACTCCGTCTCCAGAAAAAAAAAAAAAAATTATTTGCAGCAGAGGTAAATAATGTCACCAATGCAGTAGCATTATTAGTCCAAAGCAGTTTCCACAGAGCAAAGAACTTGATCAGTCCCAACAAAATTTAAATCCTAGACTCCTTTCTCTACCTCACATTCCCCCTCCAGAAGCTGTCTTTTCTATCAAGATTCTCATACAGCACTAGCACACTCTAGCAGTTAGTAATTATAAAATAATAGAAACAATCATTAGTAACTTATAATTATCTTCTCTCCCAAAGTGTAAGATTCTTTAGCATGAATCGTCTTGCCAACAGATCATAATTCATCTTGATAACAGGTTTGATGGAATTACATGAGACGTGAGTCTGGCTCATTAATGTTATTATTGTTTCTAAACTCTTGGCAGTGGTGCTTCCAAACTATTAATTAATCTTCATGACTTCTCTGTGAATCAGGTTAAATATAACTAAACTTATTCTACCAGAAGAGAAGTCGGGAAACTGGTGATCTCCTCAATGAATCTCTCTTCCTTACCAATGCATCTGGGGGTGGAAATGGAAATTGCTGAATCAGACTCAGTTTTCCATAATGTTAGATAGATATGATTATGTGCTCCTAGTGTGCCCTCCAAAAAATCCTTTAAATATTCATAGAATAATGAATAATTTGTAACAATTAACAAAAAATATGAGTTTGAAGACTTTTTTTTTAACTTACTTTCTTATGAAACACTCAAACTCAGTAAGTCAGCACAAACGGTTATTATCGCCTGTATTGCATTTCCTTCCCTTCCCTGTGCCTGCCCTCAAATTACCATTGTTTCTTAGGGATTTACTAGTCAGTCCTCACTAGTGGGATTTACTTAGTATCTTTCTTTTGAAAAGCATGAGGCAATATGGAGAAAAATAAATCCCTAGGACCTACATTTAATGTTTCTGTCACGTGGAAATAGTGTAGCTTGATGGCTTGTTCATGGGTTCAAATCCAAGGCCTATCTAATTTGCTGTGCATTGTTGGAAAAGTTAGCATCTTCTCTGGTTATTATGTTCTTGTTCCTAAATGGGAAGCATGTTACCTCATGGATTATGGGAATAATAAGAGAGAATGAATGTAGAGTGTCTGGCACCTTAAAAGTGATCAGTAATGGAGTACATTAGTAACACTGTAATTCAGTGACTCAGCCCCAAAGCTCTGAGAGAAGGGGTGAAGGAGCCTGAATAGAAGGATGTGATCTCAGGAGTATGCATTTGGAGATTTTCTTAACACAGTAGACGTTGTTAAGTAGCTCCTGATTTAGTACCAAATAAATCCTCCTCTTAAACCAAAATAACACTTGACACACAGTAGGTAGCACAAAATATTTTTTTTTTGCATGAATGAATGAGAACAAGTTATTTCCAAAGACGAAAAAAGGAAAAAACCATAATACTAGCGTTGCGTCCTCTACGAGATGGTCAGCTATCCAGATCTCATTTGGATACCAGTGATTCAAGAGCACAAGGAAAGAAGAAGATGTGAGGTCTGAGACAGTTGGCGGGAGAAAGCAGAAATAGTAGGCACTGGAAAAAATGCATCGGCAGGAAAATACTATCATCATCAGATTATCCTTTACTGATAAAGGATAAGGGGAAATGATGACATTTTATCACAGATCATTCCTTCATTTTTTAACCATTAGATTTTCTAGGTTTTACCCCACTTCTTAAAATATAGAAATAGGAAGGTACAAGACATACCGTGCTAGAACTATAAGCCTATCCTTATTTAAAACCTTCAAAATTACTTTCCATTTCAAGTCATCAGATTAGAACCACATACTGAAAAGACAGAAGCAATAAAGTAATAAACCAAAAAGGACCCTGCATTTGTTTGATTGGAAACAAAATATCGGCTGATAACTTGAAGACACTGAATCTTACCTGCGTAGATATACTCTGCATACGCAGGATGAGTTTTCGTGAAAACGTCTTTTACTTTTTCTATTTTATCACCTCTTACTTTTGTCGCAAATGGTGTGTACATAACCGAGAAAGATTCGGCTCTGGTGATGGCTTCTTCAATCATGGCCTAAGAGGAAACAAACAACCCATTTGGCATCAATAACAATATACGACTTTTTAAGATTGTAAAAAATATAATTACCTTTATGGATGACTTAAAAATCTATATACTGTACTGCAAAGATAACATATTTTGGTCTTGAATATTCATTAGAACAAAATTTTAATTAGTTCTGGAAATTCTATTTCATATTAAGAAAACCAATTAAATGAAGAAAGTTTGTAAGCATGCACCTCTAAACTGAGCTTGTTTTAAGATAAAAATACAAACTCTATTTCCTAAGGTGTAATTTTTACTTGATTTTAAAAGTCAAATTCTTAAGTCTGACATTGTGATTAACTTACTCTTGAACAGACATTGGTGAGCAATTTGTATATAGAGAGATTTCTTTCAAAAACTAAATTAAATATCCAAAGTATATTCTGTAAATAACACGGCAAACTAGACAGACAGTATTTTTTTTTTTTCTTTTTCCAATACCTGGGAAAGCCTTTTAGAATTAAAAAAATCCTTCCTCAACTTCCTCCCAGAAAAGCTTCCCTTCCCTCCAGATCACAAGAGCCTTTTAAGATGGTTCTGGCTATTTAAGAATTTCTTTACGTTATTTCTGCTCATGTACCGTTCTTGATAAAGCCCTGCTGTCATCCTCAGCTTCCTGTTTTAAATAGGCCCATTAGTACTTGTAACAGACCTAAAAGAAAGCTACGTGAAGTTTTAAGGGAAATTTATTTCTTTCCTACTTTTCCTTCTAATGAGGCTTGAACATTGAATAAAAACTGGAAGTGTCTTTGGTTACCTCAGTTTTTGAATATGCCATAAACGCATATTATAAAATAATCCATTTTTATTTATAGAAATGAAATTCTCCCTGACAACTAAGGTACAAAGAAACAATATAGAAAAATAATAGATATAAGCATTACAACAGAGAAAAACCATTTAACAAACAACACTTTACGTTATTACCCTTATAGTATTTTGCAAACAAGTTTTCCAGTGATAATAAAAACAAGGAATTGATTTTAAACTGAGAAGTCTAAATAAACTTGTTCATTGCTTGCTTCATTTCTTAGTGACTTCCAATGCCTCTACGGTCTTCTGCATTGCTTGTAAAAGAGCAGCTTTGCAATAATTTTCTGGATGCAAAGGGTCTTCCTTTCTCTGAGATTAGCTTAAAAATTATGTAAAAATTAGTGGTGGACAAATTTCTGAATGAAATTCAACAAGTTACTGGATAATTGAATGCTGGAACTTAACATTGCCTTCAACATTCTCCTGTTCAAGTTCAAGGAACTAAACGGGGAACAGAAAATGCAAAGAGGTTCTTCCAAACCCAGAGCCAGTACTGAGGTGGAGTTAGTGATGGACTGTGAGGGCATGGAAAGGTCTGGATGTGGAGACCTGGATACCAGCTTTGGAAGGCTACTTGGGATAATGCAGGCAGCAGGTCTGGGATTCAGAGTTGTGAATTAAGAACTCAAATAAGGGCCGGGTGTGGTGGCTCACAGCCTGTAATCCCAGAACTTTGGGAGGCCAAGGTGGGCGGATCACGAGGTCAAGAGATTGAGACCATCCTGGCCAACATGGTGAAACCCAGTCTCTACTAAAAATACAAAAATTAGCTGGGTGTGGTGACGTGCACCTGTAGTTCCAGCTACTCGGGAGGCTGAGGCAGGAGAATTGCTGGAACCAGAGAGGCGGAGATTGCGGTGAGCCGAGATCAAGATCACGCCACTGCATTCCAGCCTGGTGACAGAGTGAGACTCATGTTAAAAAAAAAAAAAAAAAAAAAAAGAACTCAAATAAGGTGTTCAGGCACCAGGTATTAGTCCTTTAGCAAAAATAAAGATCCTTTATATTGAGTAGAAGGAATGGTTCTCTGCTGGAACTGATCCTGGGATGGGCTGTCCAGAGCATCAAGCGTGTGGTTACACATGCATGTGTGGAGTGACGAGCCAGAGAGGAAAGCTGCTCTCGACCTCAGTTCTAGGGTCAGGACTGCCCTTTACTGCCTTTGTCAGCTATTGGCTCCTGTATCAGTTTCCTAGGATTGCTACAACAAAGTACCACAGACTGGGTGGCTTAAACAACAGAAAGTTACTTTCTCACAGTTCTGGAGACTGGAAGTCCAAGACTGAGGTGTCAGCAGGGTTGGTTTCTTCTGAGGGTCTCTCTACTTGACTTGTAGATGGCTGTCTTTCTCCGTGTCTTCACATGGTCATTCGTGTGTGTGTGTGTGTGTGTGTGTGTGTGTGTGACCTGATTTCCTCCTTTTATAAGCTGCAGTCATATTGGGTTAGGGTTCCCTCTACATCTCTCATTTTAACGCAATTACCTCTTTAAATAATCCTATCTCCAACCGGGGCTGAGTGTGGGCTAATGGAATGCTGTCTCAGTCTGAGGCACTGGGGGTTAGGACTTCAACAGATGAGTTTTGGGAGGATACAATTCAGCGCATAACAGTTCCTAACTCATAAACAGCTTTCTGATGGTCTCTGAACATCTTGCTGAAGGGTATTTTGCTTTGATTTCTGGATTTAAAAATTTAGTAAAGGTATCTGATCCTCCAGTTTGCTTCCAGAAAGACATTAGTGAAATCCTAGTCAGGCCAGGATAGAAGAAATCGGCTCTCTCCACTCCATTTATTTCTTTTCCAACTGCTGGCAGCTGAAGTGACTGCTGGCAGGGTAGCTTGGCGAAGCCATCTCGCAGTGGGGATGGTAAGACTCAAGCCCAAGAACCTACACCAGCTTTGTAAAAAGTGGCAGAAGTGTAGGTTTTCATGTGGCAGCTTGATCTGCTGGTTGAAGGATCTGTACTCTTGGCTTCATGCTGAAGGCATTGCCTTCAGGCCTCAGCAGGGCGCTCACCCAGGACGGGATGAGCCGGAGAGTGGCCTGTCTCTCTCCCCACTGAGAACCGAGAGAGATGGGTTTTCCATGGTTTCTGCTCTCCAACCTGAAGATGATGGTAAGAAAGTGGGTGAGTAAATAGAGTGAGTCTGTAACTTACAAATCGGAATTAAATTCTCCATGGAGATGCTTTCTTAAAGGAAATTATTATAGCCCCAGGGAAAAAAAGAACAACACAGAGTAGAAATGAGAGTTCAGGTGACCTTTGCACCAGATGCTGAAATATCCTTTTGTGTTTTAACATACTAATAGTTTTTATTCTTCTAGAGACAGACAATCTGGAAGCTTTGAACCTGTCCCACAAGGCTGCTGTAAAGAACCATAGTAACATGTATATATTTAGCATTATTGGAATCTTATTATTGACTGATTAGTGAAATAATCTAGAAAAAAACTTAGCCTTTGTATTTTATTAAAATAGTAGGGTATTTTTTGGCTGCTTTGGTTTAGACACCAAAAAATTAAATTTTTATTTTGGGATGATAGTGATTTGGCAATTTAGAATTGGACTTGTCTCTTTTCAGAGTCTAATATGTGTAAATTAAAAAATTATACTTAAGGACTTCAAAAACTAGAATGATTTGACATAATCATAGACATTAAAATATAAAAGATATATTTTAATTTGCTTTTATCATCAAAGATTTTCCTTGATTTTGCAAGTGAAGGAGGAGACCAGACGTGGAATTGCTAGTTGTGAAAAATAAGCTATTCTAAAAACGGAGGTAGATTTCAAATGAGACTTCTTAATCAGACATAAATATTTTGTAGTTGAATCATTCTTTCTGACCTGTGAATTTCTCTGATGTCAGTAAATGCTGCAGAGAATGGGGCAAATAATTAGCCCTTGTGCCCTGTTGTTAAATGCGCATGGCTGTTAATTATGCTTTCTCTGCTGTTACTCAAAAATAAGCTTTGAAATTAAGTGTTTACCTTTGGGAGTTCTAATAACTCTCTATTGTTACTCTCACATATATCAAGTTTTAAAGCTCATATTATAGTTACAGAAGCCAAGTGTGTATGTGGGCAGCTCATTTTCTGTACAAACAGTGACTTTTAATAATTTCTCCTTGTACTGTAGCTAAGTAAAAAGAACCCCCTGCTTAGAATCAACTTGCCCAGGATGACTGTACAGGGAGACCATGGGAGAGAAAGGAGGAGAGATATTCCATCAGGAGAAAAAGAAAAGCAATTAATGTAGAGGGAAACATGATCAGGAAAAATCTCTTCCCTCCCTCCCTCCCTCCTTCCCTCCCTCCCTCTCTTCCTTTCTTCCCTCCCCTCCCTCCCTTCCTTTCTTCCAGAGGAGGAGGAGTTCAGCAAATTGGAACTTTTAAACTATGTCCTTGGTGAAAGCGGTTTAGTAAAAGGGAATCTTGTCACTTGTAATTAGAAAATGTGATGGTGATGATTATAGCTTATCATCGAATTATTCCTTTATTGTGTCCAGTTTTAGGGTTGACCATAATTGAAGTAAATTGATTTACTTAGAGGATTCGGAATCTTCCAGCCCAACTTCTTGAGATTAGGAGGGGTTTAAGGGACTTTTCCAAGGACTTCGTTTTTATTTGTTTGCTTTTTTGTTGTTGCTGTTTGTTTTTTGAGACAGTCTTGCTCTGTCACCCATGCTGGAGTGCGTTAGTATGATCTTGGCTCACTGCAACCTCCCTCTCTGGGGTTCAAGTGATTCTCCTGCCTCAGCCTCCTGAGTAACTGGGACTACAGGCACCTGCCACAATGTCTGGCTAAGTTTTGTATTTTTAGTAGAGATGGGATTTCACCATGTTGGCCAGTCTGGTCTTGAACTTCTGACCTCAGGTGATCCTTTGGTCTTGGCTTCTGAAAGTCCTGCATTACAGACATGAGCCAATGTGGCTGGCCTTCTAAGGACTTATTCAATGACTTTAAAAAATTCTATGGAGCCAGGCACAGTGGCTCACAACTGTAATCCCAGCACTTTGGGAGGCTGAGGAGGGCAGATCACCTGAGGTCAGGAGTTTGAGACCAGCTTGACTAACACAGTGAAACCTCATCCTAAAAAAAAATTCTATGGAATTGGCTGGGTGTGGTGGCTCACGCCTGTAATCCTAGCAC